CATTGTTCCTGTTTCGTCGAAAATGAAGCGATTCATTTTCATTGTTCTGATTGTTTTAAAATACTCTGTTTCTACATAAATTGATTAAACTCTGAGCTCGTAAAAGAAAAACATATGAAAAAAGGTTTCATCTCACTATTCATACTATATTTAATTTGAATAAAGAATAATGTTAATTATTGTTGAGAGAATACGAAAAAAACCTTGCATGTTAAACAAAATGTGCAATTGAGTAATTTAGAAGAACGTTTTAAACAACATACGTTAGCATGAGATTCGTATCTTGCTAAAGTCATACAATTAATAGAAAGAAAAAGATATTCATTTTTTTGTGATACATAGTTTTTTGTTGATAGTTTGCTTTTTTTCTGTGCTTAAACTTATATAATGAATTATTTCTTGATAAAAAATTTCTATTCGTATTCACATGTGCGTGAATTATTAGTTTTTTAGTCTAAAAATTTCACAATACCTTTCCATATTCAGCATCATCTATTGATGATATTGCATGCATTTAATTTAAAGATTTTCAGATTGTATCAATCGTGATGTTTTATTTAAATGAATTTTCGATTTATACATAATCTCGTCAGATAAAAAATTTTATCGACTTATCAGTACACATTGAAGAAGAGCTTCTCATTTTAATTCCTATTGGTTGAATATTTTTGTTCAAGTTTTAATGGAGATAACTTTATTTGAACGGTATTTTAATTGCATATCTTCGAAGTGAACGACATTAACCGTTTTCTTAGTAAGAGCTGTATATTAGTGCAGGGAACGAAATTAGCTTTGAGCTAAATTTAAGACAAATTAAAGTTCTAGTTGAAAATGTTTAATTAATACCTTTGTTCTTCTAATTATAGGAAAAGCAAATTATACACCCTTTATTAAGCAATATGTATGTTTTATAATTCATGAAAAAAGAATTGAAATATTCATTTTTGTAAAAAAAATTCAATCATTCACTACCTCGAACACCGATTATCTTTTCACTAAATGCCTGAGTTACATCATATATCATTATCACATATATACTGCTCAAATATTATGGTAATTTTATTCATAATTCATAATGCACTATACGTACTAATTTTCTAAACAACAATGATCACATACTTACTGTACAGTTACATGATAACATGAAGACAATTATTGATTGAAAATTTTTTCACAGTTCATGTTTTTAATTGGAACAAATTTTGTTTTTTTCTATTTGTATAGGAATATCTATTATAGAAAAGATGAAAGACGAAAGAAATTAAGAGTAATATATTGAAGTCATGTAGAATTGTTCTTAAATTTTTCAAATGAGAATCAATATAAAAACAAAATCTTTTGATAAGATTTTACATATGAGAATACGTTTTAGAAAGATTATATTAATGAGAGCAATCAATCAATTCAAATATGAATCAATTTTCCAAGATTATCTATACTATGAATCTTTGTTTTCAACACTCAAATGAGTATGCTCAAAGAAAATAAATTTGTTGAAAAGCTCATTCTTTAACATAGATAACTGATCACCATCTAATGACTGGAGATAAGTGAACGTTCTAATGAGCTCATGGAGAGGTATAAATACCGATCTTTTTTCGTCATCTCAATAATACTCTTCATTTCTATTGATCCCCATCATCTCTGCAAGATCGCATTTTTTTGTCCTTATACACTATTTTACCACAAGTTTGTTTGTCTTATTTTTAATATTCTTTTGGTTTTATTTTCCAGAGCGTCAATCTTTTGATCTTCATCACCATTAAACTAACTAGTCATTCAAATTCATGTGAGTCAATGATCCGTTAAGGACAGCGAACCGTTATCGGTACTAAAATTGCTAGAAGGAAATTGTTTTGCATGTATTAAGATATTTGTAGCTAATAACCATAGCGTAGTTCATATAAAGATTGTTGATAAAGGCAATACAAGTTTGAGCTAGTGACGCTGTATTGAGAGTAAATTTTTCTGAAAGCAAATTACTTGCTTTATTGATACACATAAGGTAATTCTCTATGTTTTATTTACATTAAATATAGCTTTTTCTCAGAAAAAATATTTGAAATTTAATTAGTCTAGTCAAATTCGTGTAACTATACAGATCGATTTTTACATCTTATGTTTACAAATGAGAATATTTCGTAATTAAATAATATCATAAAATAGTCTTAAAAGTTTTTCAATGTATAGAAAGATGAATATCAGATATTGACAAATGAGTATGAGTTAAACAACTTTTTATAAATTGATTTATTTGATAGAATGGAATGCCGATTAGTCCTGAACAATTGTTCAGAACATGATATTCCGAATAGTGTTTTATCCGGTGAACTTCAGCAAAAGCTGAAGTTCTACAAATTTCGTCGTGTCCAGACAAAAGCTGGTAAATCGCTGTTTTACTTATTCTTCAAAAAAGAACAAGACACGTATTACGCATTGCAAGCAGGAAAATTAATTAAAAATATATCTCTGGTACGTTATCGTCATCGGAATATGACTCCTGCACCTTTATGTCGTCCTGATGAGATTTTACCAACTGAAGCACAGTATCAACCAGTACCTTCACAACGTACTGTTGATGCCATTCGATATAACTTTAGTAAATATATAGATAAATTTTCAGATCGAGTAAGAGTATATTATAATGAATACTTTTGATTATAACGTTTCCTATGTAGAATATCTTTAAATTATGTGTTAAACGTTTATCAGAACAAGCAGTTGTTCAACGTATGAATATCTCCGAAAGTATGTTGCTCTATCTAATTGATTTAAGATATTATTTTCTTGCATTGTTTCAGTATATGAACGGAACTGCAAGATTAACCACTGGTGGTGGTTAAATCAACAATATACTATCAATAATCCTCAAAACATACAAAAGATTATGGACATATTTTTTTCGTGATTTGTTTTCGATACTCGTTTCCTATATGTTTTTTTTCACATATAATGTATGAAGTGTATACAATTTACTTTTTTATATTCATTACTGAAAATTGTTGTATATGTATTATTTAATCAAATGGTGAAGGCCATATGTAATTTTTAATTTCATCTCCTCAAAATACTGTAATAAAAGAAAGCAATCAGCTGAAAGTGCTCATACACAATATTAATGTAGTTTTCAAAATGAAAAAGCATATTTTAATATATTTTCAGTAATTGATGATTGTACATCTGTAAAAGAAATTATGAGAATAGAACATTTATGACGAGATATATTTATTTGAACATCATTGACAATGATGAGGCAAAAGGAAAATTGAAAACATTTCACATGCAACACATAATTCACATATGGATGTTAATTATTGAGTAAGAGGGCAACGCAGTCGAAGAGATAGTGAATGAAGAGAACGATAAAAACATTTGATGATATCATCTAACAGATGTGCTACTATGATGGATTAATTTAAGTAACTAATGAATATATGACTTCGAAAGAGAAAGATAAAAAAAAATAATCAAAAAACGAAAAAAATCGTAGTGCATTTTCATTTTCACTGAAATAAACATACTGGAAAAGAAATTAAAGTGTAATTGTTGATATGGATAATGAAAACGAATGAAATTGAAGCTATTTTTGTGTTCTTGTAATTTCTACAGTAATAAATAAAGTTTTTTTCTTTCATACGATAATGATGGATATTAAATAAAAATATTTACTAACAATTTTTTAATATTGTCATATTTTAGATAAGATTTTGCATACAAACAATTGAATTTTGATATTAGTGGTAATTTGAAATACAAAACAAGTTGAAAGTAAATATAGAGTATAGATAGTTTCAAATCTGATCATCGGTTAATTTCAGAAGATTATCATGGGACTTAATGCTAAATTCATTCAAGTTATCGGAAACGTAGGATATCATCTGTTGAACTTCCTCGATGGAGTAGATGCAGTCAATTACCTTGAAGTTGTACGAACATATCTTCAATTTCGTTCATTAGCAATAGTCTCTGACTATGAGTTTCTTAAGATTCTGAAGATGTTTGATCATCATCAACCAATTATTGTTGCAAAAGAAATGTATCAACATTATTTACATGAATGCGACGTCGTTGACTGTCGATTGGTTCCATTTGAACAACGTGATCTATTATTGAAACAACCAACACAACGTCTCTTTGTACATCAATCTTTTAGTATTGAAGCGTTTAATCAATTATCTAAAACATATTTAACACCAATTTTTCAATGCTATTCACGTTTACTTTCTTTCAATACTGATTTCTATTGTTCAAACTATGGACTGATTAATTACGAATTTTATGCTCAAACGATCGGCTCAAATAGGGATTTAAATGATCATGAGAAAAAATTTTTCAAGCGTAAGTGATATAAAAAATCTTTTTTTGTTCGTGTAATTTGATTCACATAAATAACGTTGGAAGTAAAAGTGCTCAGAAAAGATTTGTCTTTTCTCAGCAGTATATCGCTTTTATACGTTTTTACTTGCAACATTATTGAAATTGATTTGCTAAACAATTATTAATATTATTGCTTTTTATATAGCTAGCACATTTTTTCAAATGCGTAATGATCCAAATTATCAAGTGAATCTTACATTTGTCAGCAATTTCAATGAGTTTCGTAAAAATTTTGACAATCGCTTCTCATCAGTTCATTGGATTGATGCTATTGATTTTTCAAAATTTTTAATTGTTGGAGGTAGTGTAATTAACGCATTGTGTCAATCACCATTTATAGATACTCGAGAACAAGATATTAATTTAATATACCCATCAGCATATCCCATTGAATTTGAAGCAGCCGTGATGAAATGCATTGATGTTTTGCAAAACATTACATCACAGTACTCAAAACATCAAATAATTATAGAGAAAACACCTGGTAAACTTCGATTTGACATCCATTTACCCTGTGGTGTCAAGCTTAATTTTTTGTATATCACTTGCCTCGAACATCGCAACAATTCGCTTTCTTCAATCCTTGATGGTTTTGATATAGATTTATGCCAAATTGCATATACAGGTAGTTAATCATAGAGTGCGGAAAAACAGTAAAGACATCAGTTTTAAAATTAATTAAGTCCTATAAAAGTTTTTGAAAAATGTGAAGTAATCTGACACTTACTCGATTTTTGTACAGGTAAGTCATAGCTGAAGAAATTGTGTCAAATTATTTTGATTTGTAGAAAACTGATTGAAATCTGTTCAAATATTTTGATGTTATTCAAAATCTTTGAAAAAATTTATGAAACGTGAACTTTGCTGTTTCTTCCGCTATTTCAACATCTTATAATTATAAATTATAATTTATGTATTACAGGTAAACAAGTCATTTGTACATTTGCTTGTTTGCAAGCTATAGCAACGAAGTCGTTCGTTGTTTATAGTTTGCATGCTTCAGTTAGAAAAGACGTTTGTATACGGATTGAGAAATATTGCAAAAGAGGCTTTGCATTACTCGAACCCATCAATTTTGATGGGGATTTTTCTAGGCTAATGAATCAACCTGTTGTGCCACTTTATCATAGTGAGCAGCAAACCATCATTGATGATGATGGAGAAATACAAATTGCGACTGTGGAATACTGGCGACAGCCTGCAAAGAATATTGATACTTTCGAAATACAAGAAGCTTTCATTGCTGCTTTCTGTTCACAGAGTACAGAATGAAAATACTTGTACATACAAACTAAATAAGACCTTGTCGTATAATTATAACTTACATTTAGAATAATAATTTGATTTTGTAGCTTTGTATTAGATGCATGTTGGAGTGAATTGAATTGAATTTTAACTATTTGCTGAAACGTATATATTAATTGTTACACTGTACATCCTCCATTTTCCATTTCTCATACTGTATTCCATTTTTATTGTTGAAACGGATTGTTTAGCTGTTATTTGCATGACATGTTTTTTCCAATCTTGCTTTTTCTTTGTATATAAAAAAAAATTTAAAAGTTAACCAAAAATACATTGACAGAAACTTTATTTACTTGTTGTAGATATCATAAAATCATATCAAATACAAATTTCTGCTTTCTTATTCATAAAAAATGTCATCTTCATCGAGTAAGTATCAATAACAAGAGTTCCTTCGATAGTTTAGTCTTTTGTTTAGACACAACAACAGCAAAAAACACAATTGATGTTTCCCAATCGTTATCATCAACTGCAAAACATAAAGTAGTTCTTAATATTGATAATATTATATTTATATTGAAATGTACTAGGAAATGTCTTCTTGCGCTACCAATGTAGCAACAACAACAGCAGCTCATGAGCTAAAATTCGTGAATGTTAGCCAATTAGTTGGTTCTGCTAAAATAAATGTAAAGATCGAACCGGAAGAAATTACGGATGAAGAGTTATTACAAATGGCAATTATGTTTGAAAAAAAACATCCAGAATATGTTTCTAATGCTAGAAAATGAAGGAACGGTTCAAAAGATGGACATTTTTTTGTTTGACATTTTCTTGTGTGGAATAGTCTTTTTGTTACTTCGTAGATAATCGTATAATAATTAACTTTTATTAAAGAGTGATGTTCTTATCATGTAGGATTTCTCATATATTCATATTGTTTATTCTCAACAATTTTAGATCATTACTTTTGCAATCGAACCTGATTTAGCGATTGTAAAGACAACTACATTCATTCGTTAAATTTTTATTTATAACTGATTTATTAATACACATAGGTCAACTGATGTATCAATGAGCCTTAAATTTAATCCATAGATTGATCAAGATGATTTTTCTTTCCACCATCATTATCAATCGCATAATATAATTGTTGTTTAATATGTTTCTTTATTATAAATTGTTGTCTAATATCTTTCTTTATTGTAACTTGTTGTCTAATATCTTTCTTTATTATAAATTTTCATTTAAACAACTTCCGGTTTTCTATTATACTTTAATTTAAATAACTTCTACTTTTCTATTATAATTTTATTATGTATATTTATATTTTATATACAGCGGATATAGTTGCATGTATAATTCTAATTTCCGAGAAGTATTGTTTATATTTATAAAGTTAGATATAGATATGATGATTTTCATAGCTAAATTTTTTTAGAACAATTGATTTCGATGATCAGATAGCATATAGTTTATTGTCAAGGTGAACACGATTGAAGTTATCATCTATGTTATTTCAAATGATTCATGTTGATGCTAACTTATAGTGATAAGATACTATTCATTTATATAACGATTAGTTTAAAAAAATGTAATTGAAACTCATTATTTTTAGATTAACTTATTAGTTGATTGTTTTTTTTTGTTTTTCATTACTTTTATTACATAGCATATTCTTACTAATACATATATGAAGTACTGTCAGTTAGAGCATTTATCGACAAAAAGAAAAAATGAAAACTATGATTCTATACTATACAATATCCAAAGAAAAGGTAAATATCATCTTAACAATATGCTGCTATGTCGCTACTTTCATCGTTACTTTCATGTGCAGAAAAGATCACCACAATTCATGCTCTATGCTCTGATATTTGGCAAGAAGTATTCGAATATTTTGAAGTTAGGGAATTGTTCAATACGTTTGCTTATATCACCTTTGCAGCTGATCAAGTATTATTTAATAAGCATAAACATTATCAACTACGTGGGCTGATAATTAATATCAATATGAAAGATTTACCAATAAATATAGTTTTAAGTCGCATTATTTCTCTTACAGTCTATGATAAATATTGCTTTGAAATTATCGAAAAATGTACTGAACTTCGATCATTAAAACTAATAGGTGAAAATAAATGGATTACATACATTGTCAGACAAATCTCTCAAGCATTCTTCAATTTAGAACAACTTACTATGGTGATATCTGGAATTGGATCTGTCTTGGAAATATTTATATTTGTTGCACCTATTTCTTCATTACGTCGATTAGAGATTTGCGCTGATGACTTTATAGAAAGTAGGAATACTCTCTATTCAATAATAATGCCAAGCAAAATCGAACAATTCATTATGAATTCGTGCACTATAATTGACTGGAATGAATTATCCCATATACTCCCTCGTTTTATTGATATGCATTTACTAAGTATCAGTTTGATTGATGATCATCAGAGATCAATCCCTTCATTTAATTTTCGTAACATACGTACTCTTAGTCTTGGATTACGTGAAGCATCATTCGACTGGATTGTTCAACTCGTTACAACAATAACTGATCTTGGGAAACTAAAATTGAATGGTCTTGTGCGCGAGGATGGCTTTGTTATTAATCAAAGATGGGCATATCTGTTGGAGTCCGCACCAAATTCAATCCGCATATGCGTTAATGTTTTTCTACAGCAAGATACACATTCCTATTTCTGTGAAAAAATCAAAGTAGCACTAGGTGCTTTTGGTTTAAACCTTACGAGCAGCGATGATGATACAGATTGTAGTACGAATGATGAAAATGTAAATCGATGGTGGAATTTAAGAGGTATAATTATCAAACAATGATAATCTGTATTATACATTACAAAATTATTAAACAAATATAAACTAATCATGTATTTGATCAATTTTACATTAGATATTATATGTATGATGTTTTTCACCTGTGAAACATTTTTAATTGTGCATGCTTTGTGTAGTTCTTTAGTTAAATTTTGTACAACTATTGTTTAACAAATATTCTATATATCCGGAAGCAAATATTTGATTATGTAGTTTTTTTTATAAATTATCAATTTTTTTCATATCTGTAACAAATTCTTTTCTTTTAGATTATTTATTTTTACAGAATCCATCACAAATATTAAAAGCAATGAATCTGAATTTCTAGTACTATTGCGGCTCAATAAAAAGAAGGACAGGAACTTTTTACTTATACATACATAAAAAAATATTTCTGTAGTTCGAGCAAAATCATTTTTTATTTCTTATTATTCAATTATGATATCTTTTTAAATTCAGTTTACAAGTAGATGCTCGAAAATATCACAATTTAATACAGAATCAGAACGTATATTGCTAAAAAGATACATATGTGTTGATTGACCGATTAAATCGAAATTTTTAAGTTTTGCTTCTAATCGTACTTCTACTTGATCGCTATCAGTTGATAAATCAAAAGAAGACGAGAAGCTGTTGATGTTTATATCTATATCTGCTTAAGCATCTAATACTGGTTGCTAGTGTATGGAATTTGAAAAAAAAAATGATTACATAAACAACATAATATTTTCCATAATTATATTTAAAAAAAAACAACAATATTACTTTAGATAAGCTTTTATAAGATGACTACACACAATCGATGTTTATTTTGTGAAAATCATACAACAAACTTCTGCTGCTTATCTTGTCATCAGATGAGTCGACGTGCTATGTTTGACACTCTTTTGACATTACTAGACAACGCAACAAAAGTCAACGATTACTATGATCAATTCAAGATTATTTGTCAGAGAATTTTGACAGTAAGTGTAATATTTAAACAATCAAAACGATATTCTCTTTTATCAATTCAGCTTGAATGGCTTCTAACACCAATTCAGTTTACTCCCATCACACATTTTAACCCAGTTGTTCATAAAATTGATCAACACGCAAAGATATATCTGAAAAATGGATGTGTGGATATCGAAGGTATGGTACCTGTTGACGTTTTTGGAGATGGCAATTGCCTCTACCATTCAATTATATGTTTAAATGGGAGAAGAAATCTAACAGTTAACGAATTGAGAGGTATACATACATAACTATAATACTTTATTCTTTATTTGTGTGTTTCCTAGTTCGAACATTAATTGAACTTGTAAAAAATGATACTTTCTATCATAATCGTTTTTCACATATTGTTGGATCCCTGCTTGATGCTATCAAAACTATTGCTCATGATGGTTCATACTCCGAACTGTACGAAATTGCTGCACTGAGTAATGTTCTAAAGTGCAACATTCAGAGTGTATATCCCAAAATTCAATACGGTTCACATTTGAGCATTATGAATAGTATTTTTCAATGTAATCAATATAGCTCTACAACAAATACAATTTTTATATTTTGGTCTAATACTAAAAGTGAAATATACGCACGAAGTGGCAATGCTGGTAATTGGACACCAAATCATTTTGTACCACTTTTGGCTTTACCAGGCGATGCTATATCTCAAAATACGTTTTTGTCATCAGATATCACTACTTCAAATACTGTGAGTACAAATCATTTTTTTTAGTAAAATCAATAAGTAGACGCTTCATATTCATAGACACCAACCAAATTAACAACGAAGAACAGCGTATTAACTCCAGTGCGTGTTCCACGTTTTACTGATCAGGATGATGGAACGGATGCACTACCAGAACCTTTAACAGGTCCTATAGAATTAAATCAAGCTACAACAGCTCACAGGATTAAACGTAAAGTTAATCGTACAGAGAGTAATAAAAGTATTGAAGTTGAGAAAGTTGAAAATGAACGAATACTTGCTCGAGAAAGAAGCGCAGCAAGAAGAGCTGCTATGACATCTGAAGAAGTTGAACGTCAACGAACACTTGCTCGAGAAAGAAGCGCAGCTAGAAGAGCTGCTATGACATCTGAAGAAGTTGAACGTCAAAGAATACTTGCTCGAGAAAGAAGCGCAGCTAAAAGAGCTGCTATGACATCTGAAGAAGTTGAACGTCAACGAACACTTGCTCGAGAAAGAAGTGCAGCTAAAAGAGCTGCTATAACACCAGAACAAACTGAACAACAACGTACTCTTGATCGTGAAAAAAAAGCAGCTCAGAGAGCTGCTATGACGCCAGAACGAATTGAACAACAACGTGCCATTGCTCAAGAAAGAAGTGCAGCAAGAAGAGCTGCTATGACAACCAAAGAAGTTGAAAATGAACAGCTACGTGCTCGAGAAAGAAGTATGGCTAGACGTGCTGTTGCATCACCAAGCGAATCTGAATTACACCGTGTATTAGCTCGCGAGCGAAGTTCAGCTAGACGAGCAATCATGGCACCACAAAGTGTCGAACAAGCTGAAGCGTCTAGGCAGAAGAAAAATCGTTCTCAGATAAATGTGAATCCCAAACGAACTGTGACAAATAGAAAAACAGATAGTGTTGGAGTAGAGTGGCCGAAACCTATAGAGCTTGCATGCAAGACAGCTTGTCTGAAAAATTTCATTCAATGTATGTCAATGAAATCTCTGGAGGAAGGTGTCTGCAGTATATGCAATATACGTTGCTACAAGCGCGATCTTCGATGTGTACCTTATAATAAAATTCCATCGATTGAACTACTTAAAACACATGATGACCTTTACAGCATAATTCCTGGATTACAACAAGCGGATAGTTTACGTTTAGGTGATAACAACAATATGAATCGTGATTTACAATCGTTAACTGATGAATCTCGTAAGAACCAAGCTACATATGCTTTCATTTCAAATTCAAAGTATATATAATTTGATTTTAGATTGGCCTATGGAGTCTTCTATTAATAAAAGATCCTTCATTTGTGTGAACAACGCTGTTTTATATAGACAGGGTCTTCATTATAATCTTGATAAGAAAAAACGTTCGATGGTTCATTGTGATATTTGTCTGGATTGCTGGTCTTCTCTGGTAAAAGAAAAGATACCAAAGTTTTCAGTTGCGAACAAAGTATGGATTGGCGATGTACCATCAGAACTTCAAGAACTAACAATTCCAGAACAGAGGCTCATTGCAATTTATCGTCATAATAGTTGCATTGTAAAGTTGCACTCCGCTTTTCATTCAGTGTCTACAGCACAATCGGCACTAAAAGGCAATTGTATAAGTTTCCCTCAGGATATTGTTAATATTGCAGCTACCTTACCACTAGAATTGGATGACTTATGTGATTCTCTAAAAATCATATTTGTCGGATCTCATACTCCCGCTAAACATCAACTGAAAAAAATTTTGACTGTTCGAAAAACAAAAGTATCGGCAGCGCTTCAATGGCTAAAAACAAATAATTCATTATATCGAAACGTTACAATCAATCAATCCACAATCGATAAATTACCAAATGATGATGTGCCTGAATGCTTGTGGACGACAATGCAAATTTCAACTGAAGTTGAGATGGCTGAAAACGAAAGAGCAGGTTACACTCCCGATGCTATTGCTGATACAACCGAGTTAAGCAATAGTGAGGCAATTCCACTAATGACAAGGTAAGAGAAAATTCTGCAGATTGTTTTCATTACTATGAAATTTACTATAGTGCTGTTCTGGATGTTAATGGTACTAATATTTCTTCTGATGATGTAACACAACACGTGCTGGAACGAGTAAGAGTGGAAACGGACGAAGAAATACATGATAGAAACTCAGATGAAAATGCCAAAAAAGATCCTGTGTATGTGATTCCCCGCGGTAATAAACCAACAAATGAATATTACAATCCAAATCTCCTGATGGGTATTTTTCCTACACTCTTTCCATATGGTTGTGGTGCGCTGGAAGATAATTCAAGACTGGTCAAAATCAACTTACGAGAGCATATAAGATACTTGCTATCATTTGAAGATCGTCGTTTCGAAGAAAACCATTCATTTATATTTGTTGTTTTTAACATTTTGCAACGTCGTACAGCATGCTTTCAAGCCCAACTGATGACAACAAGACCATACTTTCAAAAATCCGCAGAGCTTCTTGAATCACTTACCTCCAACGATATACAATCAGCTCTTGTTAATGTCTCGAAGGGAATCTATTCAAAGGTTGCTGATGTAAGGATAAATACGCTAATGAAGCATATTAGAGTTATTAGCGGTCATGTCATGGGATCAGCGCATTCTCGGTCAGCTCTGCGTACAGAAATCCATGGTCTATGTTTTTATCTTGGTTTACCGAGTATTTTTGTTACCATCAATCCAGCTGATATACACAGTCCAGTGGCCCTTTATTTTGCAGGTATAGATCTCGACCTTGATAACGTTATATCGAAAACTTTGGGCACAAGCTATGAGCGCGCTCAAGTAATCGCAAGTCATCCAGTTACCACTGCAAAATTCTTCAACTGCTTGGTTAAGAGTATTCTGAAGTGCTTGGTACTAGGAGGTGTACTTGGCCCTGCAAAAGCGTACTTTGGTACTGTGGAAAGTCAGGGTAGAGGATCACTCCATTTACATCTTCTTATCTGGCTCAATCATAAATTCACTCCGATGCAGCTGAAAGAAAAGATCCAACAAGAAGATTTTCGTACAAAACTACTAGAGTATTTGGAAGACATAATAAAAGAGGATCTAGATTTATTCCAAGGTAATGTATAAGGCACAATTAAAATCAACTATCAGAAATATATGCGTAAACTCATTCGAGTTTAGCTTACATATATATTTAATATGTCAGGTCATACAATTACTGAGAAACCGTTCTTCAAAGAAAACGTGTCCAGTAAATATGATGCATGTATTCCGAATGGTCGATTTTCATTAATATTGATAACTATTTAAAATAATTTGTTGTTGTTAATTTATTTTTTATTATTAAAGATGAAGACGACGTAGAATCAAATATGGCAAATACCAATGCAACATCAGCAGGTGAACTGGTTGATTTTGATGTATTTGTATTATTCCTTTTTTTATTCAAAGCAATGGAAACTAATGCGAGTGAAATTGTTCCTGCTTGCCAACCAACGCCAAATCCATCTTCTGACGATTTCATACGGATATTTTGGAAAGATATTATACGACTAGTTGAAACCTGCAATATGCATAAACATTCTGCAACATGTTATAAATACTCGAAAGCAAAGTCAGATGATTTAAAAACTTGTCGAATGCGTATGCCACGCGCTCTCGTGAAAAATTCAACTATCGACCCTGTATCTGGTCAGATTGCTATGCGTCGATCGCATCCATGGATTAATAATTTCAATGAATGGCTCATTAGTGCTTGCAGATCTAATATGGACATTAAATTCATTTGGAGTGGCAATGACGCAAAAGCTCTTGTTTATTACATAACTGATTATATAACAAAATCGAGTCTAGCTTTCCACGATATGTTTCTATTTGCGCAGCAAGGAATCAGGTCTATTGAGCAGTATCGAATTTCAGATCAAGTCGAAAGTGCTACTGAAAAATCGCGTAAACTTGTATTGCGATGTTACAATATGATTGCTTCACATCAAGAAATTGCAGGTGTCCAAGTAGCATCATATTTAATGAACTTTGGTGACCATTATACGACACATACGTTCAAGAATCTTTTCTTATTCTCTATTGAAAACTATATACAAACAGAATTAATTAAAGCTCGACTCAGCGCACAAGATACTAATGAAAAGAATGAAGACGGTAACAGATTTAATTTTACTAACACTGATAGAAAAATGATGAATCTTTTAGATATGTTGAATTGCTTTTATGATGATCATGAAGAAGATGAAACAAAATGACCGAAGAACAATTTCTTTTGGAGAAAACGACGAGGAAAAATGAAGATACATATGTGATGGTGAATACTCGTCTTGACTATCAGTACCGATCGAAAGATTTAACTACACTCTGTTTATATGATTTTGTCAGTCTATTTCACAAAAAGGTAATTGACAAATCAGATCAGCGTGCACTGAAGAATGCTAACAGATCTCAAGGTGAGCGGCTATGCACAGAGGGTACAAAGATGAATGAACGTCACACTTTTGAAAGCACACATCCCCAATCATCATCACATATTCTTATCAAACGCAACACCCCAGTTGTACCAGTTCTATTGGGCCCTCAAATACCACGTCGGGAGCGAGAAGACACTCATGAACGCTACTGTCGTGCTTTACTGACACTCTTTGTACCGTGGCGATCAATAAATGATCTTTGTAAACTCACTGAGACGTGGTCTGAAGCGTTTGAAGCTCGTAAACATCTGATATCCGATGACGCACTCAGAATTATTGAAAATATACAGCTACTGCATGAGTGCAAAAACGATCGGGATCAACATCTTCTACAGCTTATTGCAGCAGCAGACAATGATAACAACATTGATCCTCTTCTTATCCCTGATTGTTTTGAAAAAGCCGACGATAATGAAGACGACGAACCTGAAGAACTTTTGCAAATGCTCTCACTTATTGATGAAACCAACAGCACAGCACTTTTCAAACCTTCCAGCTACCAAGAGCAGCGTTATTTGCACGATGCACTAGAATCAATTGATAGCACAAATAGATTTGCCTCATTAAATGGTGAGCTTATTAGCATTTAGTATCATCAATAATTAGGTTTGTTTAGACTGTGTAAATACATTGAATAGAAATGATTATCGTTTTGTGAACGATTCAAATACATTTGTCATAGCTGATTTACATCATGCGAAAATGATCAAAGGATGGAAACGTGACATGGAAACCAGAAGAGACCAAGCGAGAAATTATTTAATTTCTGGTGATGATACTCTAGAGACACCAGATAACGAAATACAGATTGAATCAGTAACTGCTCAAATTCCTACGAGTCCTTTGAAGGCTCAGATGTCAACTGTTTTACCAGTAAGTACAATTGAAGCTGCGTCGTTGCCAAACAAATCAGATATTATCACAAAGTTTACATTAAATAAGCAGCAAACATTTGCTTTTATGATTATTTCTAATCATCTGGATGGCGATCATCTATCTCAAAATGGTAGTTTTTTTCTTTAATAAATTCTGTAATCTCTAGCTAGTTATAATACTTTAGGTACTCTTAATAGTCAACTTTTGATGTGTGTACCTGGTCCTGGTGGTACTGGAAAGTCTCAATTAATTCGAGCAATTACTTACTATTTTCAATCAACAAACAGATGTAAAATGTTACGTAAATTAGCACCAACGTCTATAGCAGCAGGAGAGATTGATGGATTGACGATCCATTCATTTTTGGGTGAAAGCCGTAAGAGTTCTAAAAGACAAAAACGTATATTTAGACCAGGAGACACGAAATTAGAAAACGAATGGCGCCATGTAAAATATTTGATAATCGACGAAATGAGTATGGTAGGACTGAGTCTATTAGCTCGACTAAATCGAGTAGTGAAAACAGCAAAACATGTAAACTCAGAAGAACCTTTTGGTGGTATTAATGTAATCTTTTTTGGAGACTATTTGCAATATTCCCCAGTGTTGGACAAACCTCTTTACCAAAGTTATTTGCCTGTAAATCAATACACTGAACGTCAAATAGATATACAATGTGCACAAAAAGTGATGTCTCAAATAAATTGTGTTGTGAAATTAGAGAAGCAAATGCGAACAGAGGATACAAGGTATTTAGAATTATTGAACAGACTTCGAAATGGATGCTTTAAAATGGAAGATTATCAACTTCTTTGTTCACGTGTTATTGGAAGCCCGAATTTGAAAATATCTTTACAACAAAGTCCATGGAACGAAGTATATTTAAATAGCTTTAACTTTTCTTTTAATCATATATTTCATCATAGGCTCCTATACTGGTTTTTCGAAATGCTGTTCGAACCCAAATCAATAATCGAGCTGTTTTGAATAAAGCCATTGAGCTGGGAGTGAAACCAATTGTATGTGTTGCACAAGATTATGTAAGAGGAGCCGCAATTGACGATTCACGATTGCGTAAAGCAATACTTGAGCTTCCAGACAATAAAACAGAACATCTTCCAGGATATTTACCACTTGTACCGGGTATGCCCGTCTTACTAACCGAAAATATTGCGACTGAATTGGGACTTTCTAATGGAACACGTGGCATATTCCATCAGCTCGTATACGATGAATGCCTTGACGATACTCAGATATATCAAAGAAATTTTCCAGATCATACTAAATTTGTTTTACAACCAAAGTTCGCTTTAGTAGAATTTCCGAATTGCAAGCTTGACTCGGCGCTGTCTGAACTTGATCCAAAGATAATTCCTATTGGTCTTAGTGAACAAACTTTTCAATTTGATATGAAGGACCTTCTAGTTGGAAATATATCAAAAATTAAAAAACTTACGAATCGAACAACGAAAATATCCATCAAACGTAAAGCACTTCCGCTAGTACCAGCATATAGCATAACAACACACAAAAGTCAAGGTCAAACGCTTGGAAAAGTTATCATTGATCTCGTCGTACCACCTGGTCCAGTTGAAATTGCATCAACATATGTCCCATTGTCACGTGTTAAACGACTCGAAGATTTATTAATTCTTCGTCCTTTTAAAATCGAAACTCTACAAGTGCAACCCACTGCAGCACAACTCGAAGAATTAAACAGATTGGACATCATTGCTAAAAAGACTTCTAAAAATTACAATATTATTCAATAATTCATCATACTTTGACACTATTTGTTTGCATGACGATTTATCTACAATCACATATTTGTTACTTCGTATAATATTTACTTCAGTTTGCTGTGCCATGTTTGTTTTAAGACTATATGACTATTGTATAACCTACAAATTAAAATAAACCTTTAAATGCACTATTGTGCTAAGGTCAAAGTTATTACAAACCATATTGAGAATAATTCGACAACCAAGATAGTACAAACTTAAATTAGAATGGAAAATATTATAATAATTCAGAGAGCTCTATTTACATAAACAAACTTTAGTTTTAACGTAAAACTTTGATTACGACTGATTGAGGATATGTGCGTCCAAAACTTTGTATTGAAACTGAACTACAGTATCAAATAAACTCAGAAAAATAATTTTAATGTGTTGAGTAGAATGGGTTCAGCTTATTCTTCAATCTGTTAACTAACTAAGAGCTTGACTTCGAATTATATTTAAATCATATAAAATTATCCATGATCATGTGTTACAAATCGTGACGGTTTTGGAGCGAATCACTTATTTCTCTTTTAAACATGTGACACATTTATTTCTATCTCGTTATGCAATAAAAGGTGCTAGGCCTTATATTCTGTTAATACGTACAACAATTTTAGGAAAGAGAGAATGATGATATTGTTTCATTACATTGAAAACTGTTCGGAAGTGAAAGATTGAACATACACATGCCAAATAATTATTACAGCAGAATAACAATTTGCTTTTGATTCGATGACTGATAAAATGTAGATGGATTTGAATTTTGAGTGCTGTTCTTACAAATAATCAGACAGTGTGGAAAATGATTGACCTATATATCGATGTTGCACTGGTACATGAGGTTGAAAGAGGTACTTGAAAATCATATAGATTTAAATAATAATCAGACCACGTATAACCTCTGCTTGAACAGAACGACTATTAGAAAGATAAATCAATATATATACCATCTTCATTGAGAACAGAATTTATCCAACTAATGAAAATTCATTTCCATCAATATTATGCGAAACAATGATCTACAACAAACGATGAATGTGCTGATAAATATGTCATCGAAGAACATTGTTGACTTGTGTTGTACTTAGAGATATTCAAATAATTGATTGTCGTTTATTGCTGATTATTATATTCAAAAATGATAGAGAGAATTGATTAGAGCATAAGACGTCATCAGTAGTAGGTGATATAAATCCTGTAATATTGTCTTCTGCTTGACGCTAATGCGTTTCAATACAATAGTTTTACTAATGTAGCTGAAGAATTTTTATCACACAATAACTGATTCCAAAAAAGACTTATCATTTGATTGTTGACATTTGACTGATAAATGCCCACAGCGTTCGAGTCGTTTAGTAGATTAACGTAATACCTCTCCTCAATAGATAATCTGATCGTCAAATGGAAGAGTCAGAGTAACAAAAGGAAGGTGATGATGCTGAGATCAGAACATATTTTATAAGTTTCTAGCTATTGAGATGCTGATTATATACATGACAGATGAATAAGATGCTATTATGAATAATTTCGAGTAGACCTATGACGATCTTATAACAGTCGTCACTTCGGAATCGACCTAACAGTTTACTGTTTTGTAATTTGATGCTATAATTTTATGTAGTCATCAAAAAATATTTTTAACAACGATACATTTTCAATACACGTAACCAAAACCTCGCATTTGCACAACTCATATATGTAAGCTACAAATTTGTACAATATCAATTCCTTTCAGTAGAGGGTCAGCGATGTTAAAATCGCGTTACTTGTTTATTTACAGAACATACATTTCAATTTTGGGAAAAGTGTTGGTGT